AAAAAAAAAAAAAAAAAAAAAAAAAAAAAAAAAAGGAAAGTCGAATAGGCTACTTTGTAGAAGCGGCGGCCATCTTGAATCGCAAGGCATTATAGGTTATTCAGGGGGCAAATATACAAAGCTTTGTTATAATAACAAGACGACTAGACAAAAGTAAAATTTTGAAAATGAACAGTTCCACAACTGAGGACATTTTTCAAATATCGTGGGGTGGTCATTCAGCATCTTTGTTTTGCCTTGCCGCCCTGGGCGAAGAAACTCTATTTCGTATGTTATATTTTTTCAAATGTGAATGAGTTTGAGAATGGACTTTTGGGTAAATGAATGTTTCGTTTGACTTACGTTGCTACAGAAAACAGTTTTAAAATATTAATCCGATAAAAGATTTCGCACTACCCTAGCTAAAAAATACTTCAAAATCCATCCATTATGATGATTTTAGACATAAATGCACTTACTACTGATCTAAAAAATAGTATAAATATTAATAGTTTTAAGCGTGCCCTTTTTAAAAGGATATTTAATAAAGATTAGATAAGTATTTGTAGTTTTTATAGATTATCCTTATAGATTTCGAATAATTAAGTTTTCTTATATAGTTTTGATAATTATATTATATGTATATAGTTTTAAGTAGTGTTTAAAAAACGAGTAGGAGTGTTTTATCAGGTATAAATACCTGATAAAAGACGATCTACGAGTTTTTTGAACTGCTTAAAACACTCATGAACAATTTATAAGATTTTGGTTCAACTGGAGCCACCATACACGTCACGAACATGGATTTTTATACTTCGATAGAGATTTGACGTCACGGGCATGCGCAACCAGATTCAATAGAAGCTCCCACACGTTGGATATTGCGTGCCAAGGCAAAGATAGGCACGTTAGTCAAAGATCATTAGGGTTGACTATGGCCTTGAAGAAGCTCTAAGTCTTCATCTAAACTTGGATGCATATTTCATCCCTGATGAAGTCATCCTCATAGTATTCGAGTGGTCTTTATATAAAGATCACACGTCACGTTCATGAACCTTTATACCCGATAAAGTTCTCTTCATTAGTATTCAAGTGATTTTATATAAAGACACATGTGTCTTTATATAAAGACACATGTGTCTTTATATAAAATCACTTGAATACTAATGAAGAGGACTTTATCGGGTATAAAGGTTCATGAACGTGACGTGTATGGTGGCTCCAATTGGACCATAAGCTTATGAATTATTAATGAGTGTTTTAATGGATTGTAAATTATTTTATACTTTATTTCTGTTATATTAAGGCTGAAAAGCCCTGTCAAAGGGAACATCGATAAAATTTGTATGTATTAATGTATGTAATATAGAGATTGGTCGAGTAGTGACCAGTGATTATGAGACGGCATTCAATGGTTGTAACCGGAAGTAAAATGACCAAGGCTTTTCTTTTCTTTTTTTCTCTGATATTAAAGTCTAAAATTAAAATAATTCCCCGAAGAGGAAGTGAATATGGGGAAATATTTACCGAGCGAGTCTTCTAGCGGCGAGGTAAATATTTACCATATTCACTGAGCATGAGGTGAATAATTGTTTTAGTATAATATTAGACTTAAATATCAGAGAAAAGTCGAAATTCAGGATAAAAAACGTTTTAGTATTAGTTCCGCTCTGGAAAACTTTGGAAAACCTCATAATCACAGCTCCGCTCCGCTCTATTATACTAATATCTAATATCGTAAGAATCAATATTAATATTGAATATCAGAGAAAAGACAAAATTTAGGTTAAAAAACGTCTTAGTATTACTTTCGCTCCGAGAAACTTTGGAAAATCTCATAATCACAGCTCAGCTCCGCTCTATTATACTAATATCTAATATTATAATAATCAATATTAATCAATTAATTTACAATTAATTTACAATATAACACAAAGAGAAGTCGACACCAACCCTTTCCCTTCTTGTTTAGCGCCATTTTCAGCTTTCTTGATATCCTCAATAGCTTTTTCATCATTCTCGTTCTTTTCCTTTGTCAAACTTTTCGCTTTCTTCTTCGATGATTTCTTCGAACTCTTGTCGGTGTTTTTCAAACTGTCTTCCTTCGTGGAGTTCTCTAATTCATCCCACTTGTCGCGTAACTTCTCCTCTTTTTTAGCATTATGCGGGCAGTGTCCGTAGTATGCCACAGGCTCGCCTTCGGAGTCCGGTGCGCAGATGTGATCGTGTATCGGCAAGTCGGCTTGACTGATCGTCATACGAGTATCGTACGAATGATCTCCGAAGAATACGTTAACGGAAGTATCGGACATGGTGGATTCTGCTCCTCCAATGAAATCGTTGTCTGATATCAAGCTGATGGCGTCACCAATGGAGTCGAGATCCTGGGGAGGGTCTTCGTTTTTACCAATCAGCCAATAGGTTTTCATTCCTCCTTTTCCCTGGTTAAAAATAAGAAGCATAATGAGAAAGCTGCAAAAGATTAACAAATAGATGTCTACACCTACTTGCAAGAACGTTCTCATACGAAAATAGAACATTAATGATTTAGTGGGATAGGAATTATATTAAAAAACAAAAGAAGATCACTGAAGCTGAACTTTTTCTTTTGTCTTTTAATGTATTCCTTTCTCACTAAATTACTAATGTTCTATTCTTGTATGACAACCTTCTTGCAAGTAGGTGTATATGTTTTTTAAAATAACAAAAGCGATAAAAACTTCTCATTTTTAGTGATCAAAACAACCAACGGAAAGAGCGCGCGCTCGTTGACGTTAGCATTATCTGTCTGTCCTCTTATTGATGATGAACAAATAACCGAATTCCGGTCACCCCCATGTGAGCAGAGTTGTTTGGTTCTCTTTCGGACTCCGAGGGTTTTTCAGGTCCACCGGTTTTTCCTCCCTCTCAAATCAACCCTAACTAACTCAAACTGGTTGGAACTGTAGTCCGGGGTCATACATGGACTGTATAGCAGTTTCCAGAGGCGCATTTACATGCTTTCAGTTCGAGCCCGTTAGCAGTTCGAGCGCTACTGCTGTACTGGCGGTGGAGATTTGAGCAGATTTCGTATGACTGTGAAAAGCTCAGTGCCGTAAGCGTGAGGTGCCGTGACCATGATGCTTTCTAGAATTTTAATTGGCTGTTTTTTTCACGCGCAATGTGATTGGTCTGGCATTGCCGTGACCTTGGCGTGACTGTGTCCGCGCCGTGTTTATGCCGTGTTCCGGGTATTTGATTGGATGGAGAGTAAATTCTCGTGCAATGTGATTGGTCTGGCGTATCCCTTGCCGCGTCATGGCCGTGTTCGTGCACTGAAATTTTCACAGTAATACGATAACTGCACTAGAGATGACAAGTTTTTTAGGGGATGAAATAGACGCCATTAAATTTTACAGTGAATGCATGGCAAGATTTTCGGGGAATTCCTGAGTGACCGTTATATACAGGGTGACCGATATATAAAGGTCCGTTATAGACAGGTATGACTGTATAAATATAAAATACCTTGATATCCATGCTTCCTCGATGCTTGAGTATGTAGTTCTCATTCGACAGCCTTTTTTCGGTTGACTCACTAACGTGAATCGCGTTTTGCTAAAAAGAAAATAAAAAAATATAGAAGTAAGAATAAGAGGATCAATAACTAAGGAAATATTGTGAAATCATGGTAAGAAAAAATGCCGTTTTCTCAATGCTTGCGTGCGCTGACTTAGATCAGCCCAGAGGTTGTTTCAGGGTTCGATCTGTGAGTTAGCAATGCCCTGACTTAGATCAGCCCAGAGGTTGTTTCAGGGTTTGATTTCTGAGTTAGCCTTGCATGACTTAGATCAGCTCAGATGTTGTTTCAGGGTTCTATCTGTGAGTTAGCCATGCCTTGACTTTGATCAGCTCAGATGTTGTTTCAGGGTTCTATCTGTGAGTTAGGCGAGCCTTGACTTTGATCAGCGTAGAGTTTGTTTCAGGGTTTGATCTGTGAGTTAGCCGAGCCCTGACTTAGATCAGCCAAGAGGTTGTTTTAGGGTTTGATCTGTGAGCTAGCCGTGCCCTGATTTAGATCAGCCCAGAGGTTGTTTCAGGGTTCAATCTGTGAGTTAGCCATGCCCTGACTTAGATCAGCCCAGACGTTGTTTCATGGTTTGATCTGTGAGTTAGCCATGCCCTGACTTAGATCACACCAGAGGTTGTTTCAGGGTTTAATCTGTGAGTTAGCCATGCCCTGACTTAGATCAGCCCAGAGGTTGTTTCATGGTTTGATCTGGGCGTTAGAGGGTTCGACATAACTAAACTTTTCAAATCCTATAAAAAAAGCTCACCAGTCCTGTTGACTCCATCCTAGAAGCAGTATTCACCGTATCTCCAAACAGACAATACCGCGGCATCTTCAATCCAACCACACCCGCTACAACCGTTCCCGTGTGGACCCCTATGCGGACCTGAAGGTGTTCAGTAAGCTGTGCGGGATCTTTGATGTTGGGCATTGCAGTGAGTACGTTCAAAGCCATATCTGCAATATGCTCTGCGTGGTATTTAGTGCGCTCTGGAACACCGCTGACCACCATGTATGCGTCACCAATGGTTTCGACCTGATGAACGAAAAGATGCCAGAATAAGGCACTTGTGTTATAAGGTTACAATACAATACAGTACAATATATCTTTATTCACATTTCCTTTTATGTTAGATTACACTAAATCCTATATTTAGATCATTGAAAGGTAAGAAAATGCTTATTTGTTCAAATAAATAAAGCTTGATGCCTGATGTGATGTAGATGACAATGACGATGATGGTGGTGATGGTAATGATCCGGGCTGTCTGTGATATTGATAGAGGTGCCGTAAGGAGAGGTCATACACTGTACATTCTTCAAGTAAACCCTGCCACTCTGTCCAAGTGGAATTATACATCAACTTTACCTTGTAGACGTTATGCTTTTCGCTCAGCTTGTCAAACGTTGTGTACATGCAATTCAGCATAGTGACCACTTCCATTGGAGAAATGAGTGAGCAGATTGTAGTAAACCCAACGACATCACTGAACAATATCGTCACCTCGGAAAACGTCTACGAAGTATAACAATATTACAGTAAGGAAACTCGAACAGCGAACACTTTTTTCACACGTTTTTTCCCGGTTACTAGAGAGTTTAAGATTATCGTTTACGGCAAACGTGAAACGTCAGTTGACCATTAAAAAATTCTTTAAAATTATCGTCTTTAAAAAAACGTCCTTTTTTCACGAGGGTAGCACTTAATAGAGAGTTTAGATAGCCGTTCACGGCAAACGTGTAACGCAAGATGATCAGTGAAAAAATATTTTGAATAACTGAAAAGGAATTGCAAAAAAATCCAAGCAGTAGATAAACAAAAGAATACTTGTCTTTGTCGAGAAGGTTTGCAAAAGGTAAAGTGAAATGTAGGGAAACGATGAAAACGTGGTCACGTTTGCCGTTTGCGGGAAGGAAAAACGTTAGTCTTAATCTTCCTAATATTACAGTAAGGAAACTCGAACAGCGAACACTTTTTTCACACGTTTTCCCCCGGTTATTATTTCAAGGCTTTTTACTGTTTGAAACCCTCGAAAATGAAGCAATGAGTTCAAATAAAATACACCGAGTGATCAAAGTTAATATTATTGGTCGATTTGCTCTGAGGATGATTTACAATATACACTTTTTACTACCATTAGACAGTTTAAGATTCCCGTTTTATTCCCGTTATAAAACGTTCAATTTACCCAATCTTGTACCCAGAGCCTGCGTTTCTTCTGGCCCGCGGTGGAGAACGAGGGCTCTGGCATAACCCATTTTCGAGACCAGGATTTCTTGTACTTCCGTTATAAAAGCGCATGCGTTCAAAAACTTGGCAAGGAAAAAAAATTGTTCCCAATTTCTAAATTTTTTTCGATCGGGAGTAAACACGAAACTCTGTTTGAAAAAAAAATCCTTAAAAAGGAAGATTAATTTATTGTTTATATTTCAGTTCCGGAAAATTGCGCATGCGCCAAAGATGGATTATGCCCTAGTTCCTCGCCGCGGTCCAGAAGAAACGCAGGCTCTGGGTACGAGATTGGGTAGGTTGATGCTAGATTGCAGCTTACCTCGCAAGTGTTGAGTGCTGGTTCTCCTTTACGCAGGCGATCTGCAACAGTCTTTGGGATCATCTGATACAGCAACGTGTCTGTTCGTAACTTCTCGATATCGAGTTGGCGCATGCTCTCTTCTAGTTTAGCACTCTTTTGCACCTCCTATGGTATAGATAAAACATTATCATTTTTTGTACGCGGCATGCGCAGTAGATTAAACATAATTTTTTGTACGAGACATGCGCAGTACACCCGTAGTCGATTCACGGGAGAAGAAAGGGCGTGGTGATGGATGTAATAGATGTTGACGATCGTGGAAATAATGATGATGATGATGGTAATGGAGATGATGATGACGATGATAGTGATGTGATGATGGTGATGTTGATGATGGTAATGCAGACGGTGATGTGATGGTGATGATGATGCGATGATGATGATGATAATCGTGATAATGTTGATGTGATAGATGATGATGTGATGATGTTGATCTGATGTTGTTGTTGTTGGTGATGATGAGATAATAACGATGTGATGATGATATGACGATGACATTAATATAATGGTGACGTGATGATGGTGAAAATAGACGATGATGATGTTGATGAGTAGTATGAGGATAATCTTCCCACTAACCTGATCAAGGGCAAGCTTCAATTCAGCAGACTGCTGTGTTCCTGCCAAGACAAGATCTCTACTTGAATCATGCATACTGAGATCATTGATGAACAGTCCGATTCGACACATCACATCCAGATTCTGAATCCTATAAAAGTACATTGAAAACAGATTTATATGTTTAGAAGGTTTATAAACCAATAAACCAATAACCAAAAAAACAAAAAACGAAAAAACAAAAAACGAAAAAACAAACAAACAAACAAAAAACAACAAACAAACAAAAACAAACAAACAAACAAAAACAAGCAAACAAAAACAAACAAACAAAC